AATACTGGTTATATAATTGTATAAGGTATAGATCTACATGCTTGCATAATATCATCTTGTGATAGGGAATCTTCACCGACTTTACTTTGTAGCAAGTGAAGCTAACTTGCATAATAGTGATTTTAAAATTGTCAAGTCTAGTACTTTAATTGGTTGTTTCTCATTAATAAATCATTATATAGACTATTAATTTTTTTAAATTTTGTAGTCAATAGGATAAAGAATATCATTCTTTTAAAAAAAAAGTAGTTTACTTTTCAAAATAAGAGATATATTATTTTAAATAAATTATATGTTATCCAACTACCAAAATAAATGAGATGACCAATATATAAAGTTAAATAATAAAAGGTTACTGAATAATTCAAAGAACATAGAATTTTCACAATAAAATTTTTATCGATAATTGAAATTTTAAAATTATAAGTTTATAAATTTGATTTACCGTATAGTTGTGAAATAACGTGCAGGGGCGTTATTTTGAATTTTGGCCCGAATTAAGCTTAATTTAGGCCGAAATTCGAAATTACACCCCTGCGCGTTATTTACAGTATAATGCGACAAAAAATATCAGATTATGTATTGGTTATACTAGGGTTTCTGATTGGTGACTATTGATTAAACCCTATTGAAGATTTAATACCCTATTGGAACTATTAATTAGATAGTTTATGGTTAGTAAAACTCTATTGATATTTAACACCCTATTAGTACCCTTATTGGTACTCTATTTGTATTCTATTGCTCTGATTGATACTTTATTAACCTCTTTTGGAGCCAAAATTTGGCAGCAATAGGGAAGTTTTTTATTAAATCTCATTTCATCTGTGTAATATTTTATTATACAGTATCTGTTAAATTTTTAAATTATATAACTATAATGATTCACCTTACTATGGGCTACCCACCTGTTTTATAAGTGAATAAATATTATTTTTTGAAAAAACTTTTTTTCTGATATCTTTAGTTTTCTAAAATTAAGACATACTATAATCACAATCACTATCATACGTCAATCAGCATGACTCGCCTATTCGAATTCCGTAAATCCGCTGATATGATTTATATACCATTAATTTCATTTTATTCACGTAATTTCAAGGAGTATATTTAAAATAAGAATTTAAGCTCATGAGTATTTAGTTTGTGATAAAGAACCTAATTAAATTAGAAGTTTTTATACGAATATTTCTCAATAGCTACTTGACAAATTTTTTATTTTAATTCTGAGTTTATGAAATTAAAATAAAAAAATTTTATCGAATTTTGATAGATAATTGTCGAGAAATTCAATGAAAATTTAAAAAAATTTTGGCTACAGCTTTTTATAGACGTCTAAACTCTGGACGAATGGTCAAAATTTTTTTTATTTTAAATATGGCAATTACTAATTTTAGCTGGGGGAATCACCAGGGGTGCTATATCTCAAAAACGTACTAAGTAAACAGGATCTGGTACTCTAAGTAAAAATGTTCAGAACCCTGAAAACCTCACGAGAACTGAGATCGGGACCTTATATTAGCTCTATATAATATTATATATAAAAAAAATTCTTAATACCCACACCCTAACCCTATAAATAATTAGGGGAAGGGATTTCCCCGGTTAAATGTAGTTATTTTCTTTAAATATATAGTCTTATAGAATTGAAATAAAAAAAAATTGATCGTAAATGCCGAGTAATCTTCATTCAAAGTTTAGGCTAGTAATAAAAAAAAAAACCCCCCGTAAAAAAAAAAAATCAAGTACGTATGTACAAAAAACGATTATTTAAAATCTGCAAAGATCTTTTACAGGGCAATCCCCAGAATTCCTAGTCGGAATGCATCAGAGTTAGAGTAGAGTTAGCTATACTGGTTAACAGGGTCCATAGTAAAATTATCAGCTGGGCATTTTTTACTTGGTGAATGGTTAAGCCGTTAGTAAAATTTTTCGTAATCTTAGCTGACCAAGATTCCGATACATTTCTGACAAGAAATTTTGGGATCCTCCTGTCTGAATTCTATACATAGGGATGTTTAATCGGTCTCTCCCCGTTTTACTAATTGTTTTTTAAGGGGATTTATCGTAAAGTCCCGAATATAAGGAACCTCCAAAAATAAGCAACCCCTTAGATTTTAACACTAAAATATGAAAAAAGTAAAATAAGCAACCCTATAAGCAAAATAAAATTAAGAGTAATTTTTATTAATACTGGCTAATAGAATTAAGTATTTCAAAAATTACTGAAATTAAGCAACCCTTTTAAAAAAATCAGCCAAAATGGGTGGCTTACAGGGTTGCTTATATTCGGGACGTGTTATTTTGCAAGACTTAATTTTGAACTCAATTGGGAAAATAGCCTCCGGCCATCAATTAATAAAACGGAAGAATAATTCATTTATTCCCCGTTACGGGGAAATAATCCATTATTCCCGCCGTGCCAGGGAATATATAGTACTTATCAGTCGACCAGGATTATGCGATGTTGCGATATGCGAAAAAGTCATAAAAATCACGTGTGTGTTGTGATTGGTAGATGAAAGATTCCAAGAGCTATTAAAATTGCGCAAAGTTATATACTGTATAATCGCATAATTCACATCCATCACATGATTAATCTCGAACATACCGCAGAATTTACCCTATTGCATCGCATAATTCTGGACGCCGGGGTGCATCTCATCTGAGGCGCCTCGGTTATCACCGCAAGAACCGTACAGCATACATGTGATGTTTTTTTTTTCTGTGCGGCATGCTGCACATTATCAACAAAAGGTTTTAACCCTATGCTGCGCACAGTCCGCATAGTAAAAAATAATCACGGTTGCTTATATGTATATTCGTTAATTTAATAAAAAATATAATAACGATAGATATAATTAACGTTAATAAAACTTTATGTACATCGATATTTTTGGGAGCCAGTAGAAACGTACCGAATTTCAAATTTTTCTATCTTAAGCAAAATAACAAAAAAATTTTTTTATAAGTTTATAAAATTTATTTTAAAATAAACCTGTTATTAAAAAAAGATTTGGTGTTTTATCAAATTTTATAAAATTTTAAACAATGCAAGTGGCAGGTTATATGCCAATTTTATATAAAACTCACAATAGGCTAGTAGAAGAGTTACACACGAATATGTAATGGTCGCCGATATTGCTCCATTTTCTTGACTAGTACGTATCAAAAAAATTATGATTAAAAAATTATATAATTAAAAATAGAAATACATGAATTGTTAGCAATAGGGTAAATTAATGATCGTCCGATCTAAATATGGGACAGACTGAACGAAAAACACTACAATGGGTTGTTACATAATCTGCAATAGGTAAATTCTGATCGTAGAATAAACGATTATATATAGAGTATTAATAAATACACACGGGAAACGAACCCATTGTGGACTGTCTTCTGTGATTTGCTTGGTGTTCACATTGTTCTTCATTTTTTCCAGGCATTTGGTAAAGTTAAAGTTTTTATCCTCCAAAAAGCTAGACCGGGACAAATTGTAACACGTGCAAATCCGCGTTATTTTTGACACCGATTTACAATAGTGGGTGTGTAAAATTTTGGACATACCCACGAAGATCCAAGACATACGTACGTATGTACGTCTCACATTCTTGGTTTCTGAATAGACATGTAACCAAAGGCTTAATGGCATGCATATCTAAAGACCTTGTACAACGAACTTTAACTGTAATCATCCCGAAGACCTGTTCAACCTTAATTGTAATCTATCGTACGATATTGTAAAAAAATGGAAATAACGTATCGTAAAAAAATGGAAATAACGTTAAGTATTTATATCGATTAGAGGTGCAGGTGAATCGTCCCAATGATGCCGTAACTTTTCTGTAACGTGCCGTAACTATATTAAATAATTATAAAAAGTTACGGCATGTTTGCCGTAACTTTTTATAATTATTAATATAGTTACGGCACGTTACAGAAAAGTTACGGCATCATTGGGACGATTCACCTGCACCTCTAATATCGATGCTAGTTAATAAAGTGCAGGATTGTAAGGGAAGTGTCATTTATCATCTGATTTTTTGTAAATAGTAAAATCTCCCCCTCCCTCAAATGATTACAATTACATATAAATACATATACATGTGATCTATTAGCATGATATTTTGGCACCCACACCCTGCTAAAACCATATAAATCAAGGCATTATAATACTAAAAATTTAATCATGTTAAAATTAACCATAATTTCCTTTAAGAATGTAGAACATTCGATTTACAAATCGATATGACCTGATTTTATTAGTCATAGCTAGGTTACGAGATACTAGTTGTCATAATACCCTTCTATATACCTTAGAGCGTACGAATTATCCACTTTTATCACTAACCAATTTTTTTATTGTCAAAAATAAAAATTATAAGTCGATATGAATCTTATTCAGGAATGACGGGAACATTTGAAAATTTGGGTGTATTGGTATATATATGGCGATAGCGGATCTATAATATTAATATTAAAAATATCCGAACGGTTAAATTTAACCGATAATCTTTTTTTTATTGCATCATATCGACATACTCTACATAGTAATAAGTTAGCGTTTTGAATAAAATTATAATATGTGACTATACTTACAGTAAATTAGGTTAAATTACGTACGTATAATGATGTAAAAGGACAAAGTATCTGTCAAGTCAAGAAACTTGAAGCAGAACAATGTAAAAGGAATTTCTCATTGGTGATCTATCCGCCAACATTATGTATTTCTAAGCTTATGCATGTGGCTCTACCTAATATATTAACGTGCATTTACCACAGCCCCATTCATTATTCGTCATCCTTTGGGATGCTGTCCTTATATAGGGCCTCAGTAATGACCTCGTCCTTAATTATTATTAATATTTATTATTTTTGAAAGAAACTTTTAATTGCTATTATTCATTCTATATATATATATATATAAGTAATTTGAGTTTCTTTTAATATTTTTTTCTATGAATTCCTCTTAAACCTAATTTCGACTATACAATCCAGCAATGATTGATATCGTACTTCGACTTCAACGGCGAATAAATAAGTTTGTATGCATTATGTGGTCAAAGCCACCATCAAAATCCAGATTCTTCCGTTTGTAAAGCTTCGATCATCACGTGTTCTTACTGTATCAATTTCGATACGCGAAAAATTTTGGCTTGTAGGTTAGTCGGATTATTGAGTCACGATGGACTAGATATTTCATTATCACATCAATTCTACAAGCTATTTTAGTCATAACTTTAGAGATAAGAGTTTTATTACGTAACGATGATTCAAGTAGAGATGCCCAATATTTTATGGAGTCCACTAATTTTACATACGAGGATAATGGATGTACTATAAAGCCTTCACTCTTCCGAATGAATAATATTGAAGAAGAAAATGCTATTTTCATAATTTTTCAATTTTTTCAGATGTGGTTTTGTTTTAATGCGGTAAATATTTTTATATCTCAATTCTTCTTCGGTAATGAATTATAAAAAGTTCTTAATGTTATCAATTTTTTAGGTTTATAATCAAAACACTATTCAAATTATCATAATCTCGATAATCAATTACCTTTGTGCTTCGTTTAGTCTTGTAAGAAACTTTTATATTTCTATTTTTTTGAGTCTTTATAGCTTATGTTATTTTAGTGTTCAAAATTTTTTTTTTCTTTATAATGTAGGTTCAGGTATTTGAAGTTAAAAAATGGTATTCAGATTTAGAAATTGCATGTCCTGGGGGGTTTAACAATTTAGATCCGCACTTCTGTTACTATGATGTACCTCTTGTGATCGTATTACTTCTCTCTGCGACGATAATGGCTTTTCTGAGTTGGAAACTTTATCGTCAATTTGGTTGGAATATTTATCGAAAAATTGGCGCTGATAGGAAATTCCAATGTAAGAAGATTTGTTGGTTTCTTTTACAAAATATTAAAATTATTGTTTTTAAAATTAACATCGGTTAATTCTGTGTCTAGCAATGTATAAAACAATGCTCATTTTTGTCATGTTGTTAAAGCTCGATTTGTTCTTCGTACAATTGCTTTGCCTTGAGGCTTGCACTGTATATCTAGTTAATATTGGGAGGAGCAGGCCAGCCAATTCTGACCACATGAGATATATACCAAGGCCTTTTTTTTTTTTCCATATTTGTGTCACGGTATTAGTTGGTTTTACACAACTTTTGGCATATCGATCGGTGAGCACAAAAAACGGTCGATTCTTCTGCTTGATGCACTGTTATAATAAATCATTCAAACTTTTGTGTGTTCCTAGTTACGTAAAGAATACAAAATTGGTATGATCATTGTTGCCGTCTTATGGTTAATTTTTTGCGTGGATTTTATTATAATCGCGAAATTCTCCATAAGAACTGTACAAGACAGCTGGTTTTTCTTCATCATATTTTGTAGGCTTTGTATTTAATATAATTTTTTCTTTTAATTTTTTTAAATTTACAATTTATTTATTATATTTTTTTTTCAGTGTTATTCGGTGTTATAATGTGTTTTGTAAGTGTCTAAATAATTCTATCTTCATCGCTAAATATGTATTAACATATATATAATTTAGCTGTCATTTATATGGTCGATATTCGTGCTAAAAAATTTTGGTCAAGGATTACAAACGCTTGGTAAGAATGTTTCTGGCATCTCTAATATCATAAATTCATTCATTTAATATCACAAATTCATTTTAAATAGTCGAAGAAGCAAAAAAGGATTGCTGTATTGCTACTTTGCCACTACCTTCACCTTCTTCACCTTCTTCACCTACTTCACCTTACAAGCGATGGCCGATAGACTAATAAAAAAAAGAAAAAAAACAAGGGAAAACATAGGGAAAACAAACAGGGAAAAAGCGGGAAAAAAGAAAAAAAAACAGGGAAAAAATTTGTCACAAATTTGATGGGTTTATTGTATTATTATTAATAGAACTTGTAAATTTATTAATATATGTATTAGAATATGGATTTGTGAAAATATAATAGGGTTTACGGATAATTTTAACATGCATTTACTAAATAACGAGAATAGGGAATGAAAGTCAATACTTTAACATGTATTTTTTATGAAAAGACGAGAGAATTATGCAAGGTTAATACGGGTTTTAACATTCATTAATTAGAATTTTTAATAGTGTATTATCCACTGTCAAAATTTGAACCGATATGAAAATTTTTCTTATTTCTAACTCTGGTCAAAAAAGATTGATAATCTGGTTGAATCAGATATAGTTACGCAATTTTTTTTATGAGGCCATATAAATTTTTGGTTCAATTTTTAAAAAGAAACCCAGTACACGGATTTTAGTTTTATTTTAATAAAATTTCACATGAAATTTTTTAAAAAAACTACCCAAGATAGTAAATATATGCAGTGGCAATCATGAATAATGCAACGCGTAATAATTTCTTATAATAAAGCATAGTAAGGGGTGTGATTTTTTAGCAGATGCCAAAATACCAAATTTGCCTGGAAAATTATTATAAATTTGCTTTTTTTTTAAATTTTAAAATATTTAAATAAAAATTTTTTTGATAATATTTGAAATAAGGGTTATATTATAGTACAGTAGTATTTAATTTTATATTACAAGAAAAAAAGTTTGCGTTATTTATCCCTTAAACTGTATTCCAGGCAAATTTGCCTAGAATTTTGAAAAGTATTTACAATTTTTTAAATAAAATTAAAAATTAT